CAAGTAATTTGCAATTTCTGAAACTGAATATTCAAACTGATTTCTTCATTCTCTGAATAACATTCAGATATTTTCTTTATTTCATAATATTCTGATAATTTATTGCTTGTGTTTTAATGATGACCAAACATCTCATTATTGATTATGTGTAATTGAGACTAAAAATCAAAAATTAAAGTAAAATTAGAAAATAAAGGTTTTTATACAATATACTTTCATTTAAAATGTATATGAAACTAATGCACTTAAAAGGAGAAAAATTATGCATTATATAATTTAATTGGAATAATAGATTAAATAATTCTATTTTGATCATTCATCTATAATTTCATATTGTGAACAATAAAAGCATGGGGTGCCTAAAATAATGAAATCTTTTAATTCCATTGCTAAATGTAGAAGTCATTATCTTTTTTAGTTTATCATGGGCCCCCTATGCTTTTATTATGCACAATATAAAATTCTAGATGAATTCTGCAAAAAGAATTATTTGATCTATCATTCACATCAAACTATACCATAAATTATTTTTCTTCTTTCAATGCATTAATTATTATATCCATTTAAATAAAAACTTATTGTATGTTAATTATACAGTAATAACTCCCAATAAGGGACACACAATGGACCAGACATTTTGTTCCTTAAATACAAGTATTGAAGTCTTAATGTAAAAATGTCTTACCGTAAAATGAAAATTCTTCAATTAAAGAAATTTAATTATTTCAAAAATATGTGAAATGAACAACACAGTTTTGTACTTATAGAAATTTTAGTGAAAATAGTCTATTCCATGGCTTTGTTTGAAAATGTGTGCATTGCAAGCACTTTTTTCCAAGTGGATATTAAAATGACTGATGATCTTAACTGTCAGCAACAGTTATGAATTCTTTTTAATTGGTAGGTGTATTTTAAGGATCTGCGTAGTTTTTTGTCACACATTCTGTTTGGCTGTTTTCATCCTCCTCACTGCTTTCCAAGTATTTTTTTTTTTACAGCTCACATCATCAATTACAATTGAAATAAAAGATTTTATTTTTATCATTGGTGTCTTCAGTATACAAGTTTTAACCGATTTCTAAATATTTTTGCATTTCTGCACTAAACTAATTTTGGCAAATTCAAACAATTTATTTTCATCAGCCGTATTTTCACTGAGGACATTAAAAACTGGAATTCCAAAGCCTGCTTTCTTAGCCTTTCTTATCCACTGAATGGAATTTAATACATTGACAGATTCTGGGAACTAACTGCTCATGGTTTCCACAAATAGCTTGACAAAGAACACACTGTAAAAACAGATTTCTGTAATGAATCTTGAAGCCTCTAATTGTACCTTGGTCCAAAGGTTGTAATACTGATTTTGCACTGGGTGGGAAAAACGCTGCTGGTTTCAGTTTTACGTTTGATGGGTGTGCTGGCGAATGGTCAAGAAACAGTAGAATCTTCCTAATTTTTCCAGATATTGTTCCATCAACAGCAATTAAACATTATTCTTGGCATCATTCATGACTTTTTATTTTGGTTAATGGACTGTTAAAGCTTTTGGATTGATGTGTTTGTGAAGCATCTTGGTTTTTTCGTCTTTCCAGTTAGAAGTGGTTGCTCAAACTCTTCTTTCATGTTATCAGAAAATAGCATAGTAAGATGTTTCCTTGAAGCTCTTACCATCAGAGCACTTTGCCTTTTTGAAGCACAGAGTTTTATTAGGCAAAAATCAATAAAATAATCCAGTTTTATTTGTATTCTAGATGTTTTTAGTTTCATATACTTCACAAATTTCATTTAGCTTTTACTTGTTGCCTATCTACAAGAATTTTCGTCACCACAAAAAAAGTAAAAGTAATACTTAAATTTGTCTAACCAATCATTTGATGTTTTCAAGTTCTGAAACTTCTTCTGCCTTTTCTTGCAGTTTTTCTCCACTTAAAAAATATTGTTTGCTCTTACAGAACAAAATCAACTGAATACTCTTATATCAATTTCACATGCTTAAGTTTTTATAAATTTTACAATCTTGGAATGTTCATTTGAATGAGTAATCCATAATATTTTTATTCCTTCTCTATCCGTTAGCACATGACATACTTGCTTTTTACTTATTCCAAATTTCTGCCCTGAATCTCTCAAACTAAGCTTTTCAGTTTCTGCTACTTCAAATACATGAACTTTTTCGTTTAATGTTAATCTTTTCCACTTTGAAGTCATGCTAGACAACATATGTAAAAACAAGTAATATAAAACAAATGTTTTTGCAAATGTTTTCCTACTTATGTCAACAAAGAAAAATTTTATTTCAGTTTCTTATCAACATTATTAAAATTTTTTCATTTCTAATTTATGAAGTTGATGGTGGTCTACAATTTCTCATTCTATCCATCTCTTGTAATGCTTCATTATTGCAAGGAACCTTTCCAATGAGTTTCAAGCAGTCCAGTACTTCAATTAATATTCCATCTAATGATTTCACACAATTCTGTTATTCATACACTGTTTTTCTTTCTCTAATCGTTGCTTGCGTTGTGTTGTAGTTTCTTTTTGCTTTCTTTTCACATTCTTTGTTTGTGAAACAAGGGACATTTTAAAGGGTTATATTTTAAGCATATATTATTATCACATTAACATAGAAATATGGGGAGAACTTTTGCTAATGGGACATTACATCTGCTTCATCTAACTCTATAAAACTACAATTCTTTAATTCCATACACTTTAAAAATCTTTAGAACTCTGTCTTACTGTTACCACTTATTTTTGTTAAATATTACAATTCCATCCATCACAGTCATATACTGTTATTTATAAGTTGTTATAAAATTAATTTTTACAGCACATGAGAATTCCTAATACAGTCAAAAGTTGTTAATCCGGACTCATCGGGACTTCGGCGATTCCGGATTATAAATCATCAGTTTAAATCTGGTAAGATGGCATGCAGAAATTATAAAATTGAAAATATGAAACCATAATTTATGAAATAAAGAACAATTATGATCTAAAAGATATCAAAATTTACAAAAAAAAAGCTTAATATTTATTTGTTTACTTTATTAAACATTTCTTTCAATGTAAGTTGTTTAAGTTGCTTTGTTTTTTATGTGATAATACTTTCTCTTTAATTCTATGACTAGACATAATTTCTTGTTCAGTACGAAGTTCCGCTGTTCAAGTCCTATAATTGCTGTGTCGAGAATACCGACTAATTTGTCAATCGAAATGTTTTCGTTTTCAATAACCTCTGGGTCACTTTCTTCACTATTAGAAGCAAATTATAATGACGAGGAATTTGATTTAAATCATATCAAAGAGAGTACATTGAGATGAAATACTACATTTAGTAAGGGATTATAAGCCAAATAAAATAAAAATATCAGCCCTGAAGATAAGGATAGTGCTGACAGATCAACTTCCAATTAATCGCGCGCCGAGGCGTCCCCCCTCCCCCCCGCCTCAGAGCAGCGTGAAATTTATAAACAGATTTTGGAATGGTTAGATAAACAAAGGATATGCCTTTATCCATTTCTTGCAGCAATTCCACTTTTTGTTTAATGGACTTCAAAACATACTTTCTCTTTACATATTAGTAAATATATATCACATATTAGTAAATGTATTTACATATTAGTAAATATATATCAGAAATTCTATTGGACATAATCGAAAGTTCAAGCTTACTTTAATAAAATTGCTCTAACAGTCTGCAAAAAATAATAAGCCAGATCCAATTCGAAGATTAAGGAACAACGCAATCTGCAACATTAACTGAATTAGATAATTTTAGCTTAGCTTATACCGTCCGTTATACATCAAACGCACATTCGTAAATATGTGTGTGCATGTGCACACATATATTCGCAGCTGTAAAGGCGTCGCAGCTGTAAGGCTGTAAAATGCTGTAAAATGTGTCACAGCTGTAAGGCTGTAACACACAAGTACAAAACTGCACTTCTTTGCTTCTCAGTCCTAGCAATAACTAAGAATGATAGAAGTTTTCACTGTATCTACATTGTGAAAGATCCCTGTGCCTTGGCAGGTGTCGTCTCACCATTTTTTTTTTTTTTTTTCCTCATTGGTCCCTGTCTTGGATTGCCTTACAACTTGCTGTTTTCTTCCCCCTACTCAGAACTGTAGTAAGAATAACTGGATTTTGAATTCCATGAATGTGAAATATCCTTTTGATTGCACCATAATTTGCTTTCTCCCATGTTTCCCACTTCCCACTTCAAAACAAAGCAGTTTTCCACTTCACTTTCCCACTTCAAAACAAAGCAGTTTTTGAAACCCTTGTTGCAAAACAATCTTTCACTGAGCATGAACTTGCCTTTGAATGCTCAAAAGATTAGTCACAAAGAGTATTTCGGTTTTTATTTACTCCATTACTTCTATCTTATTTTTGAAACTTTGTTTTAGTGTCCCTTAAGTCCGTATTCAAAAGGACCCAAACCCACAGAATTTTCCCTTTAATAGACATGTTTCTAATAGGAGGTAATATTGTATTTTATTTATTATACATCCCTTTCTTTGCACTTATGCCATATAAAATTTAAAACAAAATCACAAAATTTTTAAAAGCAGTATATCTTTATATATCCAAATATAGTGCTAACTGTCACAATATATTTTTTTTTTACATTTATAAACCATTTAAATTTTCTACATTATTTTTTTAAAAAAATAATATACAGTGTAAACATTTGTTGGTAGAATCCTTTTATTTGAATAGTGATTCAACACAAAAGTGAAACAGACACAAAATTGAGGATTAAAGCTAATACATTTAATTGCTTCACAACGAGGATTCCTTTTCATAATGAGCTTATTCTTGTTGCATTTGGCATAATTTGAAGAGAGCACTTAATGTTTTTGAATTCAATATGTTGTTCTCAATCACACATGCGATTATAATCACATTCAGTGAGACGGTAAATGGACAGCTAAATTTTACAAAAATATAACATAGAAAAAAAATTCTGGGTATGCTCAGTATGCACAATACATACCAGTAGGACTATCAATTTCACTAATTTTCCTCTCTCCAGCATAAACGGCATATCCTGTTACAGGTGCACCATTTGACGTCCCTTTATTATTTATTGTTACCGGAAGCCAAGTGACTAATAATGTACCATCTTGTGGACCAGGTTCAACTTGTACATCAAGAGGTGGTTCAGGAAGACCTGGATAATAACCAATTTCAAAATTTTAGGAAAACAATGTATGATTTAAATAGTTAATGAATGAAAAAGCAAACCGGAAGTTTATAAAAATTTCCTTCTCTTAGAAATATGTTTCTAAAACAACAAACACATAATATATTATAACTACAAAGCGCATAATTTTCTTTTTAATCATGCATTTTTTGCACATCCATAAGTAACCATTCAGAAGCCTTAACATATACATAATTATTATGTCACAGAAAGCAAAAATGACTTTTTTCACTTTCTGATACTTAAAAATGTAGTTAAATCAGTTAATAAACACATTACATGTTATTTAAAATAACAATATTAAATTTTATATTTTTAATATCAATGATGAATTTTATATTTTTAATATCAATGATGAATTTTATATTTTTAATATCAATGATTCATGCTACCCATACGTTTATAGAATTCAGTTTTAGAAGAATATCTAAAATTTTATGGAGGACCTCAATTAACAAATCATTCATTGATTGTAGAGTTGAGGGTACAATAGTTTATATGAGATATCAGAAGTACATATTATTTATAGAAAATGCAATGAATAGTCAGAATTTGACTACAGAGCCATAACTAATTAATTCATATTGCTTAAAGACTTGTTATACTTTGGAAACTGGTATGATAAATGAATATAAGATCAGAGATGAAAAGTAATCTATAAATATTATTATACTGGCTTCAAGATGCATATCAACATAGTAAATATGAAGCATTATTATTAATATAATAACTACACTTAAAGTAATGCATCTGTGCAACAGAGGAATATCATCAAGTAAAACAGTAGCACAAAAAATTTCTACAATTAAACAAGAGAAAACTTTTTAAATAAAATTTAAAAAATGTTAAATAAACTTACATTACTCTCCCCCCTTTCTCACAACTAGCACATATCACAATTGTCATTAAATACATTAAATTTTGGAAGGCAAAAGAGGATTAAACTAATGGGTAATATAGTTGTTTTAGAGTGTTAAGAATATTGAAACACACATATTTTGACTATTCATTGCTGATTCAGCTAACTACTTACTTGTACATGGTTAAGGGCTTCAATGTTTTTAACATGTTAACAGCTATTATTAGATTTTTTCCAGAAAAGAAAATTATTAATATTAACAAAGTGTTGATATGGAATTTTAATTACTCTTTTTTTTTTTTTTTTTTGTTTCACAGCTGAATTATTTTAACATCTGATAATATGAAATTAATACACATAAATAAACTGAATAAGGCTCATGAGCTGCTATTTAAAACTGATGGACTTCTGATTCTGCAGCCATTCAAAAATAAGGTAAAAAAAAGCATAAAGAAAACAGCCAGACTTATCTGCAAGCATCACTTCATTGCAGCAGCACAGGCAGTCATTCGTATGGTTTATGCATATCTATGGTAACAAGTAACTCTAGAAATGGATTAAAGATGATATAAATTGTTCAATTTTGATTGATGCTGTGCATCTCAGATAGGCGAGCGACAAGAACCATAGATGTGCAATATTTTCAGCAAAGCAGAATTGTTAGTGCTTGAAGATTACTCAGAAGAATCACACAGAGAAGGTAAAAAAATTAACCTTTACAACCTTTAGGAAGCGTTCTAAATTCAATTGCAGATGTCAACATTCCAATTTTTTTGGGATTTTCATGATTGAAAAAAAGGCGTGCTGGGCGGGCTCTAACTGAAACTCTATACGTTGTATTAGGAGCCAAACCTGAAATTTAAATTATATAATGAAATAAACATTGAACATATAAGGCAAAATGAACAATCAATCCCAAAGATTTTCCAAAGGAAATAAATGACATTTATTATATCAAGTTGAATATCAAAATTTGCATTTCCTAATACAGAAAAATTCTGATATTAATCAAAATTGCAAACATATAAATAAACAGAATATTTTAATATGCAAATACAATGCTTATCTATTAAATATTTTCCTCTGAAGGCCGGGAAATTATATAAGTAAAATGAAATACAATACTAATAACAACAAAAATGTTTTGAATGAACATATATGCAAAAATTCTAAAAAATTTCATATTTTTAAGAATAAAAACTTTGATAGACATGTAGTCCATTATACTTTCATTAAAATTTAGCATTGTAATTAAAAATAATACACACATATATGGAAGTTAATCAGTAACAAACAATTATTAAATGCAAAATAAAAATACACTTGCAAAACAATCTAAAGATTTTTTGAAAATATTATGAAGCTTTTAGTTTCATAGAAATTAATGCATTACCTTGTGCTCAACATATATCAAAGTGCAAAAGGATCATCAGTTTTGTATTCTACATAAAAAAATCACAAAGAAAACTAACTACAAATTTAAAATACAGTCAAATCTTTTTTTTAAAATGGGTAAATGCATTACATTATTATACACATCGCTGCATATAAAATTAGGAAAACCCTTTGCTATAAGTAAGATTATTATAAAATTTACCAGAAATTGTATGCCTAAATACTCCTGGTTTTAATGTTTTGACTTCAACACTATTGATGGCAACAACATGCTGGAAATTGCTGTTACTAGGCAGCCAACTAATAACTGCTGAAGTAGAGGTGACATTAGAAGCTTTAACACAGCTTGGTGCCAAAGGGATATCTGAGTAAGAAAAAAAAATTACTATAGATTTAAATTATTCAGATGTGAAATATACGTAACTTTAAATAACAATAAATGTTAGACTAAATGTGAGTTAGTATTTTACCTTTTCCAATAACAATAGTACAAGCTGCATCTCTAGAGTGTCGACCAAGAGGGTTGACTGAACGGACACTAATTCTGTGAGGCTGTTAATAAAAATGAAGATTTAAGGTAAGATTCATAAAGATCACTGGATGATGGAAACTTTGTTATGCATTTCTAAGCCCTGATGAAAGGGGGGGAAGAGAAATAATTTTCAGAACTAATATAGATAATTATTCATCTTATTAACATTAATATTAATTCAGAAAAATATTAAAAATATGAGCCTATGGAATATGATATAAAACAAAAGCAGAGCTGGAGGGGGGGGAGAACCAAGGAAACCATTTTTAGGAGGGATATGCTTTAAAAGTCCTCCCCCTTAAATTTATACAGACTCAAACATTTTTAAAACTAATGTATTTTACAAATCTGTATGCCATTAAACATATTTAAATGACTACAAAATAATTTTATTCAGTTATATGTATAATATATTAAAAATAAAATAAATCTTTAACAAGAAAAATTGTGTATTTTTGAACATGAGCCACATATAAGAATGTGGTATCTGTGATCTTGTAATGGATAAAATAAAATATGTATATCTAAATGACAGATGACCTAGAATGTGTTATATTATATCAATAGAAAACAAATATTTGAAATAAAATTGTTAAGAATAAATTCTCAAAAATTATTATATGAACTGACAACAGCTGTGACTACCTGAACCTGAAACTTTAAGGTGTCAAAAAAACTTTACTGTAACTTGAAAAGAAATATATTGAGAAACGTCACTTTCAGATAAAAGGAAACTGAATTCACAGCTTAACAGAATGCAAAATGATACCTATAAAAGAAATTCATCTTTACAATACTCTCACTATAGCTCTGTATACCAATTTCAGGCTCAGTATGTCTATAACATCAGAATGGAAGAAAGATTAAGCTATAGTAATCACAAACATTTGTTGTTACAGCATGCTGCAGATGACATTACTCTTTTCAAACTAAATTTCAGATTCTTAGATAGAGGTATTACACCCAGCAATTTATGATGGTTTCTCTTGTGAGATTAGTTTTGCATTATCAGAACAATTTCAAATATGCACAACTGCAAAATTTATAATAGTTTATTCCAGAGGCTGCAGCCTTTTTATGAAAACTTATTGCACAACTAATTTTACGGGAAGCTGATAATTTACTAATTACAATGCAATCTTAAATAACTAGTAATTTTGTTCTATATGATTTCACCTTTTTAGAAAAGAAACTTCCTTAATATTGATTGCATTTAAATTGTTCCCACTGCGCTTCAAAAATGTTTCTAAAAATGAAATCTTATTGAATTCATTTATTTCATTTGTAAATTATTGTTATTTCAAAATTCAGAATTAAATGCTGTAGTAATCTTGGTAATGAGTCGGCACCACTAACAACACATTTCACTTAAACAAGACTACATAAAAATTTAAATATGTGTGGTTAGATATATGCCAAAATTTATGATATAAATATAAATAATCATTCATATGTCTTGATGTAATTTAAGTTCTGATGTTTTAACCTACTGGACTTCATACTTGATTTATGAAGAATTCCTGCCATAAAAATTTGATACCAAAACTCTGGCATCTTGATAAGCAGCTACTTACAGCTGCTTATTTTCTGCAATATGTATTGTATTACCTATTGTAAGAAAAATGTATAATATGCTAAATGTATTGCTAAGTTATGAGGAAATCCATTTTACATTATAATGATGAATAATGGAAATAACTGAACATATAAAGGAAAAAACAATCAGTTATGACATATTCACAGTTTTTAAAGTTTACAAGCTGAAAATTCAATGAAGATCAGTTGCAAATACAAAACATGTCAATTTATAAAACATTTTATACTCTAAGAGAGCGCCATGATGATTTACTAATTCATTTAGATATTATTTAGGAAATAGAAGATCACATATTTGAATTCTGCAAGGTATAGCTATTATTCTTTTTAATTATGAAATAAATACTGCTATTGTGCAAATGTTCCCACAATCCTACATATATCTTAATTATTATTAATTTAATTTTAATATGTAAGATACTAGATAGAAGCAAGTGAATGAGTTTGCAAAGCTGACGACTTGCAAAAACAAAAGGCGGGGAAGGAGAGAAAAAGCAGTATATAATTTTTAGCAAAATAAAAAGACTTCCACAATGACTAATTATAACTAAGAACAACAGAAACAGATAATTTTAAAATTTTATTTAAAAGAACTTTTATCATCTCAAGTTGAAACTAAACAGAGTTTGAAATATGCATACATATTTATCATAATAAGTATACGTAAGTTCAGTTCTCTCCTGTATTAACAAATGTTCACTATAATTAAATTTTCATTTAATTATATTGAACATACTTAATTTATGAAGAATTCTTGCCATAAAACTTGACTAGAAAAAGGAAAGTTTAAAACATTATGTTTCTTTGGTTTTAATGCAGTTTTAATATTAACCTTTTGCAACAAAAATGACAACATGCTAACTGTGTTATTTAATCTGTGATGTGAATGTTTATTGTAAATACAATTTTTATATAAAAAGATTCCACATTTGCACAAAACATTACATTAATAGTTAACTATACTTGATTGCAGTCAACTCCTTCCACCAGAGCACGAGTTTTCTCTGTAGCTCGGATAGTAGCCTTGGGCACTCCATCTACATATACATGATAGGCTTCAGCTGTTCCAGGAGGAGCATCAGGTGGACACCACCCAATTAAAATGCTTTTATTTAGCTGCCTTTCCAAGACAAGTCTAGTGGGAGGGGGAACTGAAAATTCAAACATGTGAATAACAAATATTTACTATATTAATAGTATGCTTTAAATATTAAATATTTAAAGCATACTATGAGACCTGAAAGAATAAAAATCCTTAAAATTGCTCCTATGTACAAAAAAATAACATGAAAATTAATAAAAACTAAGCAAAAGGTATATTAGATAATTAACATTGCAGAAATTAAATGTTACTGAATAAATATAGAGCCATGGAAGGGTAGTATAAGAAAGTATAATGCCTTCAGAAATATTTGAACAAAGAGAGAGAATTTCCATTCAATAGCGATATGCTCATTTTAAATTGATAAACATTTTCTGGCTTAACATGTAATCTGAAAGACACTTAAGACAATTTTCAACATTTTCGCATGCTACATTTACATTGATAAAAAGTTTTTCAGCAGATATGGCATAATTTAATTTATGGATTTCTAAAAAGTCTTTTATTATCATTATCATTATTTCAGTGTGTTACAGATACATAAAAGACACACACACGACTCTAGAATCCTTTGATGTAGCGTATACAAAATGACTTCTTCAGTATTTACCTACAGTCTGATTCATTTTTAATTTTGGGGGGAAAAGCTATAATTTCTTTCAGGAAAGTATTAATGAACAATTATGATTGAATACTAACACAGAATAAATATTATTGATAAGACTGCATGTACTTCTAAAATAGTATCCATTACTCTAAAGCAGGCATGTCAAACTTAATCCTCAGCTTACCCCAAGAAAATATAAAGCATATAATCATAATACATTAACAAAAATTGGAATTCCACTTCCTACTGAGGTTTATGCACAACCTTAGGTGCTGAAAAAAAAAACTCTTAAGGTGGTCTCTTTACAAAAATAATTTCTCAACTGATGTTGGGAAAGTGTCAGCCCATTTACAGATGGAATTAACAGAAATTCAGTGCAACTCAACTCTAATGCAATAATTCAGTGTACTGAGTATCCCAAATTTTACAAATATCTGCCTTCTGGGAACCTTCCAGAAAGCTTCAGATTTGCAATGCAAGTGATTTCCATGTTCAGTAGTGTGTTTCAGTGTGAACAAATTTTCTCATTTAGAACAAATATTCAATAAGAAAACATATTAACTTAAATCTTGTCTGCAGACATTTAGCCAACTTCTGAGAATTCCTAGTGTGTCTTCAGACATCTGAAAGCTAATTAGAGGAAAAAGATGCCAGGTATCGGGAAGGAAACAATATAAAAATTTTCTAAAGTTCCTTGTATTTTTTAAAAATAACTACAGTATTAGTTAAGTCTTTATGCATTTATGCACTTTTTAAATACAACATTAATTATGAAAATGGGTTTCTCCCCCCCCCGGGCCTGTGGCTCACATTATCGTAAAATGTTGATTATTTGGCTCACATGAAATATTGAGTTAATTTTAAGATGTTAAATTTCATTTAACTGAAGAACTTTTATATAAGCCAGAGGCCCCAAAAGCAATCATCAGAGATTTTTGGAATGGCCTCATATTACACCAAAAAATGAACAAAGCAAACGCATATGCTACTGAATGAAGTGATGAGGAGAGATATGACTACTTACATAAATCAGCTGAGCATGTGTCTTTATGAACAAAATCAATTAATAAATGGCGTTTTGAATAATGACAGCAGATGAAATAAAAATTAAATTCCATCAATCTTGCTTTAAACTGATTACAAACACCAAGTGTTTGTGCAAAGGGCATTATACTTAACAGATTAAGAGCAACAATTTAATTCACCCTGAAATTAGGTAAAGTCATGTAGACAGAGAAGAATATGTAATATTAATTTTAATTCTGACAAAAGATGATGAGAAGAGATTTCAAGAAAATCAGAAAACGCTAATTGCGTTTTAGTAGAGTTCCTACTGTACTTACAAATAGAACGTTCAGAATTAGAGACAGCTATGCAATGCAAGAAAAATTTCATTGGTAGCTCCTCAAAGGAAAATTTCTATTGCTTCTTAAAATATTCCTCCTTCATGATGTCTCTTGTAAGCATACACATTAGGGTGTTTAATTTTTTCAAAGATGTGATTTTCATATGACTTTGCTTGTTCGAGTCTCAGTGATGTAAAAAGATATATATGCCAAATTTCAAGAACATAGGATAATCTTTAGGGGTTGCGCTCATTGATCACTTTTATCTCAAACTAGTGAAATTGCTAATACTGCAGTGCTTTGTAATAAATAAAAGCAAAAATAAGAACTAAGCGTACAAAAGATGACAAAATGATTCATATAAGAATAAACATTACAAAACTATCACTGAAATCAATAAGACAGTTATACTGGAAAACACATCTCCATCATCATCAGCAACTGGTGATGGAGAGGCCAAGTTTTCGCCTCCAGCAACAACAACAACAACAACAAAAAAGTTCAAGTCCCAGATTGAAATCTCATTCTACTCTCTATTCAACAAGCAAGTACTCCATGTACTCCATTTATAGCAACTGCAAAGAACCTTGGCCACGATGCTAAAAAAATTTCTGTCTTCAGCTACCATTTACCAAGCTCGGGTGATCAACAGAAGTAAAATGGCAAAGAAAATTGAAGAGTCACTCTTTGAAAATCCTCCTCATTTGGTCCTGCATTGAGGTAGTAAACTACCAACCTCAGTTGCCCATAAGAATGCCAAAATTTTGGAAGATAGAGTTGCAATTCTAGTGACAGACAAAGATTTTGAGCATTTGCTTGGCATACCTGTTGACCTGAAAGGCACAGGTGAGCAGATAGATGGCTGAAGTAGTTCTCCAGAGAAAGGACCAATATAGGCTACATGATAATGTCATTGATATATCTTTTGATATTAAAGCATCTAATACATGACTGATACAATGAGCATGTGCCAGAATTAAAAGGGAAATCAGACAAACATTATTGTGGTTGGCTTGCCATCATCACACCCATGAACTAATACTAAAAGGAGTGCCTGATGAATGTTGTGGCATACCATCAAGTGGTTCTGACATCCAGAATTTTTAAATTTCAAAGTCTGTGGGCTTCAATTGATAAGAAGTCATAAACAATAATGCTGGATGAAGAAAGTCCCATTTAAGGCTTTCTAGAAGAACAACGAGTGAAAATGGTTACCAACAGCCAAAATAGACGGAAGTCATCCAAGAAAAGACTACAAAGAGTTATTAAAACCCTCACTCTTGTACCTAGGAGGTTGGTCTCAAAACGACTTTAGTTTCAGCATCCCAGGGCTCTGCATCAAGCAAGGTAGATGGCAAAATCAATACATGCATTTAAAATTGTTCTCTTCCCTAAACAGTTGAATACTCCTCACTGAGAATTGAAAGGTTGCATATTTTGCCAATTTTGTAACATGTTCGCTTATGGCATGAGGCAGCTGTAAGTCGATGGGCTCCAAAGAATGATTTAGATATGCTACAACTTCTGAGCACTTACCCAGATGCAGATGTAAAAAAAAGTGCTCTCACATTTACTAAGAGACGCCTTTGTTATCCGCCAGAAACAAACGTAGAATTCGGTTTTATGGATGAATGTTATTACTCAGGGTGATAAGGAAAATATAACTAAAAATTTAGAAAACAAATCTGCAAAGAAAAAGGACATAAAATGATTAAGGTTAAAAAAAAAACTAGTTTTTGAAGAAAAGATCTGAACTACTTTCTTATTAATAAAACAAAGTTCTTTGAATTGTTTGAGATCCATGATGTGACAGCATACTGCAGTGATTCTCTAAGAAGCCAAGTGAGTGCTCTTAATGGTCAGTGACATTGCAGAAAAAGGAATTACTCTGATAAAAAAAGTTCAAATGAACAGATCAGGGATGAATAACAAAAATAATTCTTGTTGAGGATAGTCAAGCATCACAGAAAAGTTTTTGCCAAGTGAACAAAGGAAAGGATTGCACCATTTAAAGCTGATTTAATATAACATATGTTTTGCCTATCATACTACCTATATAATATTTGCCTATCATAATTTTAGTATCTAATTTTAATATTATGTTATATTTGCGATTTCTAGTTTTCCCAATAAAACATTGAAAAATCGTATTTTTTGCCTACTTTTATAAAACTGATTAATCCTCTAAATATTATCCAATCTCCTTAAAATTTGGCATAATTATCTTTTACATCACTGAGACTCAGGCAATAAGCAAAATCTGCAAACATTTTACATTTTATTCTTTTTGCCTTAGAAAATGAAACACCCTAGTACACATCTGTCAGCAGTTTTACCAGTACCCATATTAAGTTTACAAAAAACAAAATAGGATAAAAATTTTGGAGTTAGACAACTTGAACATATTCTTCAAAACCATTATTATGTCTATTGAAGTCCATGTAGATGGTGCACTGGTGCTCAAACAATAGGATTATTTTTCGTATTAAAATTTTATGCTCAAATTATTATTTTACCAATAAATATCTCCTGTATTAAAAACATACAATTTTTTCAGTTGCAACAGTATGTATGTTTCATTGTGATCATTATTAAATATTAAATTTTATATGCAGTTCTCAGTGTATTTTTGTTGCATGAGGCAGTCCTTGGAGTATCTTTGCTGCCTATATGGCTAAGAAACTCCAGAAAGTTCGCTGCCCAGGATATAAATACTTGATGTTTGATTCTAACTTGATGTAATCAAGTTAATTCAAACAAGCAATTTGTTATTTTATGAATGATGTTACTTATTACTCTAATACATTTCTCTTATTCATAAAATGCTATTTCAAGTATTCATTAAATGAGTTCAAAATTCAAGCACTCTATTATGTCAAGTGAACAAAATTTATTGAGCTTTGATTTTGTTAAACATAATACTACATATGAATTCAGTGCCTCAGTTAGCAACCAGAATCAAGAATTTGAAGATGCAAACTTTCTCAATTTTAAATTTTTTCATGTCCTTATATTTAGTTGATAAACACTTATAACAGATGCATTTAAAAATAGGGATTAATAAACAGAAAAATTGTTCATCTACAAAATAAAAAG